TCATTCTTGTTTTTTTCTCGCATTTGTTGACCATCTCTAACTTGATTTCCAATTGGCTGCCTTTTCGTCGTAAAATCCGCTTCCAAACTAACCTGAAGCCCTTTCAGCAGATAACGCGTTTTCACACTCAAGAATAAGTCGATGCATTCTAAATCGAATTGTGAGTAGTGTATGCGATCGTCGCGATTAGTCTGGAACAGAATAGTGGCTCTTGAGAGCTAATTCCGAACCCGAAAGGTAGAAGGTTTCAGAAAAAGTCTGAAGATCATTGGTCTATGGCCCAGTGCAGAAAAAAATTAGGAATTGATCTATTTAGGCGATTGATTCTCCGCAAAGCAGCAGCACTCACCCTCTTGTTGCCGAGTAGAAACACATACCGACCATTGCCATATGTGGCAAATTTCGAACCGCTGATCGGATGTTGTTCGTTGAACTCCAGCTGCCACTGAAAATCATCGGGGTCCATAAAAAGACTTGTCTCAGAAATGAAGCGTCAATCGATACCGCATTAGCCAAGTTCGAGGGTTGGGGAGCAGCTCCATGCGCTTCTAAATTTATTTACGGCTCATCTTACTCAAATGGTTACCTGCACGTATGACTGCCCCTCCATGCCCGACCCCCTTTTGGTTAGTGGTGAGTGAAAATGGAGTGCTGTTTTATGTTTCAACAGAATATCACTTCCTTTTCTCAATTTCCGATGGTAGCCTCGCTCTAGCGGTTGCTACGGCTATCGCCTGGTAGATGCGAGTGGAGGTATTTTCAAATGTGCCAGGGAAATATATCAATTTGGCAGATCGTTTGGAAAGACCCAATGTTACTTGATAGCAGAGATGTGAGTAGTTCCTTTGTGGAGCGTAGTTTGAGAGTTTCCTTTTTCTTAGAAGGCAGGCTTGGCGCTCATGTCGTTGGGGGGGGGACATTCAAGTTAGTGAGCCAATTGCTGTGCTTGGGACTAAGCCTTAGGCAGGGGAAGGGATTCTGGGGTAGGATGTGAGCAATGTATGTGTTCTCCCTGGCGTTTCTCCCCTCTCCTGGGCTTAGTCCAAGTGTCACCTACTATGTTCTCCCCCCCCCCCCAAGGACATGAGCGCCAGCAACACGAGCGCCGCAGGCTCCACGATGAGGCAAGGTGGATCATTCCCTCTGGTGGGTGGAATATAGCTGTACATTACAGTTGTGGATATATCACTCTCGCGACTCGAAAGTGCGTAAGGATCGCGCTATATTCTGACCAGGACCGCTTCGACCGCTTCCTTTTTCCCGTTTGCAACATGTAGGTGTCTGCGCTCTCTCATTCGTTGTGCTATCATCTATTCCCTCTTCTCCGCACTCAATGTCTTATTGCCTCAGCACAGCAGAATTATTGGCATTTTCGGCGATCCCATCCTTATTTCCTAACTGCCAGCCCACTTTGACTGTCACTTCCATTTTTATCTCCAAGAATCACCCCAGCTTGATCCGGGGGGGGGGTATCTTCAGCGTTGTAGGAAATAATAACAAAAACTTACTGCATATTCATCAGTACAGGTCCTTAAAGTCGTCCTTGACAAGCTTGGCGTCGATTTCCTGGTTCTACGTTTCCTGAATGACTATTCCAAAATCGATAAGTGATCACCTAGCAATAGTGATAATCAACGCGGCCGTGCACTTTTTGATGAGTCTATTTCCTGCTAGTCAATTTGTTCCTCCCAACTCGCATTCCAAAGGGTTATGACCTTGGGATCCAGAGAAAGCCTTTTCCTCTCACTCCTCGTTTTGTGCGTTTAATATGCTGTGATCACGAATAATCTCATTTGGTTTATATTTTTCCATTTTTGTATCACTGTCAGATACTAGTGCCAATTAGTTTTTTTTTCTTTTTGAATTTGGTGCTAGATTGTTCAAAAAACTAAATGATCATCCTCTTCCATCACTTAGTAAAAATTTGTTACTAGTCTCCTTTTTTCGCATCTTTTAAAAGCAAAAAAGTGCTCATGTTGCTCTACAAACAATAAATACACATTTGCCTCTATTTTGGAAGATGAGAAACGCGTCGAGTGCAGACCACACACCACAAATGACGACGGCAAGAAAAAAGTGGCTTTTTTTCTTGGCCGTCGTCACTTGTGGTGTGTGGTCTGCACTCGACGCTCTTCTCGTTTTCCGTGAATGGAGGGCAAGTATGCTAATTTAGCCGTCCATACAAGGTGAATGTGCATCACAGTAGAGAGGGCTATCTGCTGAAGCAGATTGACAGTGACGTGCTCAGCTGGGAAAATTGCAGCAAGGGTTACTAAACAAAGCGAAGCAGAGATGCGACTCCGCCCTCAACCTCGCCTCCAAAGAACCGCTTCAGCCTTTGGTTGTTGTGTCGCAAGCCACGATGAGGTTGATGTGTATGCATTATGCATGTAGGCGGCTATCGCGGTGAACCCACTCACTGGCCCAAATTTTGGGCAAAATAAGTGCCTTGTTTCCCAGCGTCAAGACCTTCCTTTCCTTTAATTTTTCGTTATAGCCGTTCCACTTAGTATCTCTCTCTACTTTTAATTTGGTCAGCGACTGAATTAGTTTTAACATTGACGACCGTGGGACCATCACGCTTCACATGTTGCGTCCGGGACGGCCCCGTGGGTTGTAAATCGTGCCACACATCGGGTTGACGCACTCGTCAATGAGTCTACATCAGGTTCACACTCTGAAAAAGTGCTCCTTGAGGCGTTCTGCACTAATCGAATCACAGTCGTTCCGTGTGATGGCAGTCCCTTCGACATTGCGTTGAAAAGTGGGAAAATGTTTCGAGGTTTCGCGATGTCATGTGCGACTTCCCCCTTCCCCCCCCCCTCCCCGACGAGCTACATGAGGCCGGTTGCATTTTCTTCAGTGCCGAGCTCAAGCACCTCGTTCAAGTTTTAGCAATTAGTTTCTGATGTTGAGGCACATTCGTTGAGCAAATAGATGAAATAATGATGCGATGATCTGTGAAGATGGCTGCTTCGCGAGCGCCCGCTCAATAGTCATTTACTCTGTCCAGGACATTTAATCTAATTATCATTCGTTAATTTTGTAAGTAATTTTTCATGTATGTTTGCATAGAAAACGTATGAATCTTGCAAAAGTCGTTTACAACTTGGAACAAATGATTTATCAGTAAGTGTATGTATTTTGCGATACTGATTTTTAATTCTCTAAATTTCGTCGCATCTATCACAACATGCGAGCACGGGGATCCGATTGTGTTGGGGTGTAAGGGGTTGTCCGAGAGGTGGCGTATCTGGCACTATAGAAAAATATGTAGGGTCAAATTCTGGAGGATATATGACCGGTGAGCTCGGTTTCTCTCCAGTGCCAATACTTTCGTCACTTCTACGTTTCTGTTGAGGGGCCGTCCGGTCCTTTCTGTTGAAGGTCGTTAGGTCCTTTCTGTTGAAGGTCGTTAGGTCCTTTCTGTTGAAGGTCGTTAGGTCCTGAAACAAGTGGTTCATGTCGACATATTTATATAACAATTACATATAGAATGATAGGAAAACTGAAAAAAAATGCTCGATAGGAACTTCTTTATTAAAAACAGGTTGTACGATAAATTGGTTAAAAAAGGGGAAGTGCCTATTATGGAGGCTGAGCCCGCAATGGGTCGGGAGGTGACGCTTTGATAATGAAGGTGACGAAGGGGCTGCCCAAAGCGACGTAGCAAGGCCACTTGTATCTCCAGACGCCCTTGGCCCTCTGCCCGCCCTCCGATAGACTACCCAGGTGCTGGTCCCTCGCCGTCGGACTCTAGCCGTTCAAGCAGAGAGGCAGAGCACAGCGTTAACGTTCATTCGTCAACACCTTTGAGGCTTGCTCAGCGCAAAATCAACGAGTTAAACAAGAAGGCCCTGTTTTCTAGGCCGTTTCCCCTACTTTTTCTTCACTGCTGTACCAATTAGCACCTCAAATTTCATTCCCATGAAGCGCCCATTTATCGCCTTGAAAGGCATATTCCAAGACAGTCGCCAATGCCTCCCCTGAGTATTGGGAACCTGTCCCGTCATCCGCTTGACCAGAGGGTTCCTGTGGCTCGAAACTGCGCCTCAATGTACCTAGGGTCTTTTCACTTGGGCGTAAGAGGTTGCCTGTGGTCCGCGATACAACGGTAACTGCGTCTCGCACGTCCCATTCTCTCTTCTATTCTTTCTGTGACAGCAAAAATGGCTCGTATGCTCGCTTGAGGCCAGAAAAGGCCTTTGATCAATGTAATTTTTTTTATTTTCCTTCGAAGATGGTTCTTTTCGCATCGTTACTTTCGCTCCGTAATAATCATATCTAGTGATTGTGTAAGGATCCTTCTAAATGCGCCGCGCATTTCACTAGTTTGACGTTGACGAAGAGTTTGGATCCACATTGAGTTCGAATGTTTGTTTCGCATGGATGTTTTAGTTCTCCAGTCTTTTTTGTGATAATATCTAGACAGATCGCTTCTTTTCCTGTTTTGAATCTGGAGGGGGGATGAGGGGAGTGTATCGCTCAGAGGCGCTCCGAACCTCCTAACCCGAGAGCTGATTCCAACGCCGGTCCATAAACTTCGAGTATCTATTCTAACGTTTCTATGGCTTCGAGTAAAAGTGGAAAGGTTGCTTTCCAAAAGCAGTGATAAAGCAGTCCATGCTACATGTACCCTCCTTTCAAAAAACGAGAAGAGCGTCGGGTGCAGACCATACACCACAAGTGACGACGGCCTCCAAGTAAATCTGGTTAGTAGTGGTTCATAGTGATAGCTGATTTTTAAATGATAGTTGTAATTAGTGACAACTGATAGAATACAACTGCAACAGGCTAATCATTTCATTGGCAGAAAACATTTACATTTTGTGGAGGCCGTCGTCACTTGTGGTGTATGGTCTGCACCCGACGCTCTTCTCGTTTTTGAAAGGGAGAATATTTATCCATCATACTAGTGCTTTACCCACTTGACCATAAGGTTCTTTATTTTCCCTTTCACGAGCGATTTTCAGACCAATGTCTCCCTTCTGGCAAATAAAGACACCAAGGAAACAGCTCGGAAAGCAAGGAAGGATAAGGAGAAACCGACGCAACAATCACGTAACTCTAACTACTTTGTATTTTTGAGGATTGTTGAGATGGGGTAAATGCGCAACTAAAATGAAAAAAGGGATTCAGTGTGGATCTCCAGTGAAGAATAAACGAAAAACTCCTAAAAATGAGGGTCTTTTCTGAGGGAAGGGGGGTGGACGAGTTGCACGACGAAGTGGCACCGAGTGTCAGGGTGGACGAGCAGCTTAACCTAAGAGACAATAAGTATATAGCTCGAGCGAGACGAAGATAGCAGCGTAGCCCGGTGGAGGAGCGGCATCGATGCAAGTCATGAACCCCGGCCTCCTTTAGGCCGATGTCAGACTTTGCGAATCGCGCGATTCGCTAGCGTCCGCGGTCGCGTTGCGGTACCAGCCAATTGAGTGATTCACTGGCCGCGACGCGACCGCAGACGCTAGCGAATCGCGCGATTCGCAAAGTCTGACATCGGC